TGTTGTTATATTTATTATAACTGTTATATTTATTATAACTGTTGTTAGAGCAGAAAAACTTTGGTCTGCAGCTGCCTGGAGTGTGCATGTGTCACTTCACACTTGGATCATCTCACTCCTCTGTGGGAGGTTCCCCTGAAAACGTCCACTCTCAGACGTGGACTCAGGAACCTTCAGCCTCAGAGAGAACGAGGCTGTTGTCTGAAAATGAACGGCTGATCCGGGGCCTCAGACTGGCTGCTCTGTCTGTCAGTCCGTGACCAAACTTAAACATGATGATCGGCTGATGTCTGTTTTGAATGCCATAATACCTGCATCTACCATGACACCTTTGAGATCGACCAGCAGATCGAGATCGACGTGTCGGGCACCCCTCTTCAAACGGAACAAAAACGGTTGTTGTTCTTGTTCTTTTCAGGTCAGGAGTCGTATCTTTTTGGTTTCAGTTCTTGTTTATCCTTTATGTTTGCTTCCTGTATTCTCCTGGCGTTCCTTCTCCCTGTTCTTTTCCTGCCAGCTTTGCCCCGCCCACCTTCACCTGTCCCCTGTTCCCATCATGGCACCTGTCTCCAGTCACCTCCTCAGCCTTCTCCAGATCATCTGCAGTTTGTCTCTGTGTGTGCTTCACGCCGCCTCCGGCTCTCCTCCGTGTTTCCGGAGTTGTTTTTTTTTATTTTTTCAGTTTTGCTGCCTCGTCAGCCTTTTGCTTTTGTTTAACAAATCTTAAATGTTTAACTCCTCGGGTTCAGTCTTCACTCCCAGGTCCAACCTCCACAAACCGTGACATGTCAGTGATGCATTTAGGTGCACGTGGAAACAAGAGTTTCTCAGGACAGTCAAAGCTTCTGAATAGAACTCGCATTAAAAATCGTTGTAAACTAATTAAAACCACAGAAACTCATCGTGTGGTCCATTTGGCTGTTTGAGCTGGTCGAGCTTCAGAGATGGATACAGCTGAAGTCAAACAGGATCAACCACAATCATTTGTACCACCAAACCTTGAACTAAGATGAACAGTCAAACACCATCACCTCTGACTCTTAACCCAATGTAGCTTTTTTAACGTCCTCTGAAAACCCGACCAACGTGCAGACGTTTGTTTACAACGGTGCGAATGGTCGGGACGCCACTCGTGACTCATTTATCAAACATGGATAAGATTTGGAGCCAGCGGCTCGTTTCCACTGCTGCTGTCAGCAACAACAAACCAGTTAGTCCGTAAAGTGAAAGATCAGAAATGGTCCGAATAAGGAGAACTGAAGTGTTTTGACACAAACATTTAGATCATTCTGTGTTTAGTGTTTGAGTTTTTTATGTTTACAGCCGATCTGTGGGGTCAGGAGGGATGGTGAAATGCATCGGACCGGAGGAGAAACTCCTGACTGAGTCTGATCCTCGGCGGCGCCGGCTTTGACTGGACAGGACCAAGACAAGGAGTAACGATGAATTCATTCAGACTTTATTTAAACTCACCTCCTCAGCAGTTTGTGTGACTCCGATGAGAAAAGGCACACATTTAAAGAGCAGCACGTGGACGTGCCTCGTCACTGAACAGTGAATGTTTGTAGTTTTCAAGATGAGTGTTTTTCTGGACTGGAGTTGAACGGGAAAGTAAACTTCAGGACTTTGCTGCACGGTGCTCAAGTGGGCAGGAGTTCCACTGTGGAGAAGAACAGAGGCAGGCTTTTGTTTTTTACTTGTCTGATGCAGCGGAGTGATGGATCCTGGATTGGGGGGGGGGGGGGGGCAGAGGTTAGAGAGGATGGACCTGTGATCGGAGGGTCATCGGTTCAACTCCTTGTGCCAACAACATCAAAATGTGGGAGGAAAAGGATGGGGAGGGGCTACAAATATCAGGTGGCAGCCATCTTTGAGTTTGACGTGACAACCCAGTTTTCAAAAAGAAACTTTCTGACACGGTGGTTCAGTTGGTAGAGCTGCTGCCTCTCGGCGAGAAGGTCCCTGGTTCAAATCCCAGCCCCGGCCCTTTCTGTGTGGAGTTTGCATGTTCTCTCCGTGCTGCGTGGGTTTTCTCCGTGCACTCCGGTTTCTTCCCACAGACAAAAAACATGCATGTTACCAGTGTCTCCCCTAGATAACTTGCCATGGCAGGGTGCTCATCTCCTCCATGATTATTGTTGATGGGTGGGGAGGGTGCGCAGATCGGTTTGGTCGGCGGGACGGGGCGCCCTGTTTGTTTAATAGTAGAGGAAACATTGTGTTAGGCTGACTCTAAACTCTAAATTGTCCCTATAGTGAGAGACTGAATGGTTGTTTGTCTCCATGTGTCCCTGTGATGGACTGGAGACCTGTCCAGGTGTCCCTGTGATGGACTGGAGACCTGTCCAAGTGTCCCCCACCTTTCAGTGACTGCTGGACATGGGCTCCAGTGACCCCCATGACTCAAAAAGGAAGAAGTGGGTAAAAGATAATGGATGGATGGATGGATGGATGGATGGATGGATGGATGCATGAATGGATGGATGGATGCATGCATGGATGGATGGATGGATGGATGGATGGATGGATGCATGGATGGATGGATGGATGAACTGTGACACCTAGACACATCCACACACCAAAATAGAGTAGGCACATTGATGACTTTTCAAGTTGGCGAATTCAGAAGGCAACATATATAAGGTGGCAGCCATCTTGGATTTTGACGTAATGACCTCGTTTTAAAAAAGAAACTTTCTCATGCCGAGATGGAGCCACACAAAAAAAATGGAAACTGTACCTCAATTATTTTTCATGGTATTCAGCTTACAACATGCATAGACAGACAGGCAGACAGACAGGCAGACAGACAGGCAGGCAGAGGTTTCAGAGTTCACAGCTCTTTTCAGATGACAACAGAATTTCCTGCTGAGTTCAGAAACCAGCATGTACAGTGGGAACCTCCCAGTTGGACTCCACGATGACTTCACTGACCAACAGCAGAAGGAGGAGGAGGAGGAGGAGGAGTGTGTGTGTTTGAATGAAAACAGCTTCAAAGAAACACACACACACTCTGCTGTCCGTTAGCTGGCTGGCTTCCTGCCAGACTGCGAGGCGTTCACTGACCCAGCAGGAAGGGAGAGTTTATGAACCTGATAAGAGCCGGTGAGCCAGTCAGGGCTCAGAGTTTACTTTCAAACTCCTGAAACACTCGGCTGACCGTTAGAGCCAGAAGCTAGAGAGCGAGGCCAGCGTGTTCAGATCCCGACTCAGGTTTATGTTCATGTCAGAAACTAAAAACTTCTGAAAACGGAGCAAAAAGTCTTTTAAATCATCTAAAACCTGAAGACCTGCAGAGACTCACCAAACCAGCGGCGCAGAAACACCCGTCTGAGCCGCCGCTCGTCCACTGCGCTCCTGAAGGAGATCCTCACCTCCTCCTCTGAACATGAACACCTGACCACAGCACCTCCTCCTGCCAGACTGCGCCACATGTTCCTCTGATACCCCATCAACTCCCAAATTATTCCAGAAAGGGCTACATAGATTTAAAAAAAATCTGTTTCCCTGCAGCTTTGAAGACACCTGAATGCCTCACGTGCTCAGTGCAGCTGCAGCATCAGAGATGAAGGTTCAGACTGAGGAGGAGGAGGAGGAGTTATGGAAGGAGGGATCAGGAGAGGAGGAAGAGGAGGGAAAGACTTTAACAGAGGAAGTGGACCTGGTTAAAGCACAGAGGGATGAAGATGACCAGGAAGAGAAAACCTACAGCTCAAACAGACATGTCTGTTAGCAAAATATCTGATGAACCTCTGGACAAAAAAAATGGATGTTCCTCTATCAATTCTACAAACATCTGGCTAAAATGTGGAGTGGTAGTAGCTGAGCATCAGCCTCAACACGCTTGAATTCATGTTTACGTGTTCATGAATTAAACGTCGCTGCACCAACTAAATAAAAAGCAGCGTTACCTTCATGACCAGATGTTTCCTTCAGAGTATCTGGCCAGATGTTCCCTTCAGAGTCTCTGGCCAGATGTTTCCTTCAGAGTCTCTGGCCAGATGTTTCCTTCAGAGTCTCTGACCAGATGTTTCCTTCAAAGTCTCTGGCCAGAAGTTTCCTTCAGAGTCTCTGGCCAGACGTTTCCTTCAGAGTCTCTGGCCAGACGTTTCCTTCATAGTCTCTGGCCAGACGTTTCCTTCAGAGTCTCTGACCAGATGTTCCCTTCAGAGTCTCTGGCCAGACGTTTCCTTCAGAGTCTCTGACCAGACGTTTCCTTCAGAGTCTCTGGCCAGACGTTTCCTTCAGAGTC